GTTAATGGACACCCCTTAGCAGCTAAGGGGCTCTAAATACACACCCCTTGGAGGGTCCTGGTAGAGACCCTAGGCTTTTGCAAAGACTTTGCTATCCGTTTGAGTCAGCACGTGTTCATGGTATCGTATCTGCTTCAGAATGATAACTAGAAATCACAGTAGTACCAGGCTACTGGAGGACTTTGACGTATCAACTATCGCAGTCACGGTCGCAAGAACATGCAACAAAATCAAAACAGGTTGTGCTAGTGGGGATTGCAGAGTAGAAAATATCTATTCTTTGTACCTTTGGAAGGAATTACGGGCCGCGGCCAACTTGTCAAGAAAGGTGCGAGATGTAAGTTCCTCAGGAATCAAAGCTCTGCGTTTTCTGATTGTCTTTCACAAACAATGACAGTGCAGATTTCTATCCAATGAAGGTCACAATTTCTGTCATTCAATTCCAAGATCTCTTGATGACAATAAACAGCTTGCGATCAGCTAAATCCTCTGCAACCACGACTGCAGATCGCCAAACGTCGTAAGTTAGCTGATGTATACAGTGAGTACAGTTAGCGACATGGAAACGGACAAGTTCGAACCAGGTGCCCCCTTGAGGGCCCCCTTTCGCTTCAACCAAAGACCACCACGGTCACCACCGAGTCGTCTTCTTCGCTGAAAAACGATCCGGAACCTCGGACCGATCCGCACCCCCGACGCGGCCTGGAGGGGCCCACGCCGCAGGCGTGCCGGTGGCAACCGACCCGGGACCCGCGGATCAAGGAGCCCGGAGCGGAAAGCGAGGCGGACGCGTGGGGCGAAGCGCGCGACAGGCGGGTGTGGCGTGGCTGAAGCAGGTGTTACCAATGGGGTCAACATGTTCTGAACACCTATTTATTGGGCTAAACCCTGGCTCAAGTAAAACTCTGACTGAAGATCTGCCGCCGAACTGCCGAGCCATCAGGGTTGACTTGCCCCGGAAACGGTGATCTCCAAAGCATCCAAAACATCTGGCGGTTTGATGCCGAAAAAGGCACATCTCGAGTTGGCACCCATACCTATGCCGCCTGCTTTCATGATGGTCAACCCTGGTTGGTTCGGAACCATTCACACGTATTATGGGACCACCCACATGTGATTCAGGCAGAACCCGAACCCGAACTCGAACCCGTTCGCCGCCGGTGCTGCGAACTCGTCAACGCTCGCGTCTCCTGCGCGCCATGGGCGACCTCAGGTGGGTCGTCCGGCGAATGGTCGGATGGTGCGGTGTCTTGAGTAAGTCGTCTGAAAAAAACCCTGTAAACGCTGGTCTTTGATGAAAAGACACGTCAGGGGGATATTCTCCGGTCTGAGGTGGCCATCGGGAAGGATAGATTCTCATCCTGGGACAGATCTTCGATCTATCTTCGATCTCACACTGCAACACAAAGCGAAGCAAGTGGAAGCAAAGTCTGTGAGCTCCAGAAAGGGTGACAAACCTTCTTGAGGAGCGGCTCTGCGGCCTCCCCAAGTGTGGTCCGGCAACACTGGGCTCACATGAGCTTACATGGACAGAGAAAGCCAAAGAGCCTTCCTCACGACCGAGGAAAGCTGTCATTCTCGGGGTTGAGGCACGGGAACAACAACGAGTTCAACGAGTCGTTCACGTATTTCTATCCCTCGTTGGTGTGGTCATTTCTGCAGAAGTTCCTGATAGTTCCTTTTCTCCATTCGCTACTAGGAACAAGTGCATCGCTTCTAGTAACAAGTGCCTTACTAGTAGTAACAAGAAGCTACTAGAAACAAGTGCCTTACTAACACCACCGGACGGATCCCATGCACGGCAGGTCTTGCCGGAAACACCCAAGTCCTCGTCCAGAGCGGGAAGGAAGGCACGGCCGGTTGACGGGGAAGTAGTATCGGGTTCACTTTGCCAACGCACGCACCTGTTTGGTAGGTAAAGATCGCCCTAGAAGTCCAAAGACTATATTTTGACCGGCTGAAGTAAAGGAAGTTCCCTTTCAGGTCCCCTAGTCAGACCATTCTTTTTATAGTCTTTGACTCCCAGGGATCCTTCTGGTGTATCCCACTTTCTGTTCCTAGACCCCACGCGCAGTTTGTATCGAGGCTCAAGGGGCAGGTGCCAAACCTTCTTTTTTGTATCGCAAAACTGAGGAATTCATCTGTATCTCGCATGGGCAGGGGGTCCTCGAGCAGATGGGTGAACGATGGACCATCCCCTCCGAGGTCCCCACAGATGGCGACCGTCGCCGCTCGGAGCTTAACGTAGAGGACCGGTGAAGACTTAATGGGAGCACGGGCCGTGTCTTCTGGCGTGTTTCTCAGGGTTCTGAAACGGGAGGACCCAAACGCGTTGCAAAAACCACCCGGCTTACTTAAGTTATATAGATCACCATTTGAGAGTGTGGCCTGCTTTGACATGGCTTTTGGTTCTCGGTTTGATATTCACGAAACTGATTCGAGCCTTCATCCACGTAGGAATACCGAAGAGGGCCGCGTAGAGACGACCTGTTCTGCATCACTGCATCCTCCTTGAGCCTTCTTGGCAGCACAGCCAGCACAGTACAGCCAGCTTCGGTGCTTCTCGCGCCGAAGGGCGGCGGAAAAAAAGAACGAAAAGCACGAGGCGGCTTGGGGACATGTTGGAACCTTGGAATCAAGGGGTTAGAGTCCTTGCAGATTGGGACCGCCAGTTGCACCAGATTTGAAGATCACTTCTTCTTGATCGTCATCGCTCACAGTGTGAAGCCACAGTCTTGGAAACACTGGCTCTTCGAAGATTCCCCACTTTGCGGCCATGAGGGCTGACTGTTTCACAGAACGTGAAAAGATCGGGCTGAAGTTCTATGGTTTGGTTGACACGGACCAAGGGCAGGCCAAATGTCTACAAAGATCTGATCCGCTCCTCATGTTGGTAGACATGAAAAAGCCTAGGTCTGTCAGCAAAGTTATTCAAAAAGGAGTCAGCATTTGCCTCTGGTGCGTCTAGCCTTTGTCGCTTCTGCAGCCTCATCGCCACTCATCGCCCCAAGAAAGAACGGGCCAGGAATTCAGTTATATAACATCATATGCCAAAAAAGAATAGAGGTTATAGGCAGAGTATCCTACTAATCTGAGCCATTTAGATTGTACGTGTTTGCGACAGGTTTGTATCCCCTTCTCTTAAAGCCAGCCTTGACGAGGTTGTTTGTTAACATTTTTGTGGGCAGATTGCCCAAAAAGACTGATACATACTGCTGATACATATGGAAATTGCTTAATTGGTTTGCTTGTCGACACCTGTCCAATGAGTTCCCCTCATCACCTCATAGATTCAAATTAGTGAAAGAAAGCGTCACCATGTCCAGGACAACAAATGACAAGGTCCACTTTGTGCAACTCTTACCATACCCAGTGGATCCCAGGCAAACCACTATGCAAGGAATCAGGGTGTCTAGGTCTACGGTGTGAGTACGGTGTGAGTCTGTGGAACCACTGGTTACCAGCGACATCATCGTGGTTTGCCTGGATGCCCTGCGTCAGTCATAGATCTCACAAAGCGCACCTTGCGAAACTTCCGCCAACGACGGAAGACGCCACCACGCGACCACAGCGACCAGCTGCTGACAGCCCCACACTGCTGACAGCCCGTCCGCACTCTCCCGCGCAGAAACGCAGATCGCGCGGAAAGGCCCGGGTTGGCCCTCCTGAAGCTCCTGTGCCTTCCGCTGCTCATCCGCATGAGCCTGGAGATGTTCTTCTGTCAATGCGGAGAATGGACGACAGCTGAAAGCTCCATCTGCGGCTCGGTTTGGTTGCTTGATCTGGATGCACCCAAAGGATGGTATTTCAGGATAGAAGATGATAAAAACATATAAAAACATACATATATACTGTCAACCGTTGGTTCAGAAAAAGGAATCCGACCCTCGGATGGATGACAGAAATTTCTTCACACATGTCACATAACATTTGGGTTCGAACTTATCTGCCATCGAACTCTTCCCCACAAACGACCTCCACGGACACTCTACGGACCATCTTGACCGCAAGTTTAGCTGTCCTGGGTGAGCCGCTGCAGCTCGACCTCAAGCGCCGGATGAACGAAGAAGATCCAAAGACTGACAGATGCGGGTGAATTGGATATACTGTCAATGTAAATACCATCAAGAATCCGTCGACGGCTTGAGAAACAGACCATCTACAGGCATGGTTATGGCATGTTGTGGGCAAGTCCACAAAACCGTCCACCTTTTCTTCACAGATTCTGGACTCCTATTTGAGACCACCCGCTGCACCAGCAACCCACCCGCGGAAAACATAGCCGTCCCACCTGCAGTTGATTGATGCGGGCATTGCGCGCCTGTCGTCGGGCCCAAGCGTCTTCAAGTCTTCGGGGCTCCCGGGTGCCTCCAACCTACTACCGATGGCCTCCAACCTACTAGTGATGTCCAACCTACTAGTGATGTCC